GTTAAGTTTATTACAATTTATATTGTGGTAGAATCTGCCACCCCAAAATATGCCACTTTGGAATAAGAATTATTTTGAGCTAAAAGCACTTAAAAAACAGCAGATACAAAAAGAGTGACCTTCCCTTTCTTCCTGGAAGCAGGAGATAAAATTCCCATGTGAAAGATGTCCTCCCCATATGAGGAAGAAAGAAAACATTCTTTTTTTTTTTTTTTTAAAGATTTTATTTATTTATTTGAGAGAGAGAGAGAATGAGAGACAGAGAGCATGAGAGGGAGGAGGGTCAGAGGGAGAAGCAGACTCCCTGCCAAGCAGGGAGCCCGATGCGGGACTCAATCCCGGGACTCCAGGATCATGACCTGAGCCAAAGGCAGTCGCTTAACCAACTGAGCCACCCAGGCGCCCGAAAGAAAACATTCTTATCACCAGAGATAGGGAGTGAGGCTGAGAGATTTCTGTGCAAACAGACCTCATTAAAATAACTCATCTTCCTTTAGCCTCCCCATATATTTTAGTTATGTTTCCACATTGCCTCTCTTTGCTCAACATAGTATAAAAGCATTTTGGTTTTGCCATTTCTCTGAGTCATCATTTCCTTATGAGAGTTCCCATGTCACATAAAACTTGTATTAAAACAATCCCATTTACAATGCACCAAAAGTAATAAAATACCTAGGAATAAACCTAAACAAGGAGGTGAAAGACCTATAGTCTGAAAACTATAGAACACTGATGAAAGAAAATGAAAAGATACAAACAAATGGTAAGATATACCATGCTTATGGATTGGAAGAATAAATATTGTTAAAATGTCCATACTACCCAAGGCAATCTACAGATTCAATGCAATCTCTATCAAAATACTAATAGCATTTTCCACAGAACTAGAATAAATAATCCTAGTATTTGTATGGAACCACAAAAGACCCTAAATAGTCAAAGTAATATTAAAGAAGAACAAAGCTAGGGGTATCACAATCCCAGATTTTAAGATGTACTATACAGCTATAGTAATCAAGTATGGTACTGGCACAAAAACAGACACAGATCAGTGGAACAGAATAGAAAGCCCAGAATAAACACACCTATAACGGTCAGTTAATCTATGACAAAGGAGGCAAGAATATCCAACAGGGAAAAGACAGTCTTTTCAATAAAAAATGTTGTTGGGAAAACTGGACAGCAACATGTAAAAGAATGAAACTGGACCACTTTCTCACACCATACACAAAAATATACTCAAAATGGATTAAACAGCTAAATGTGAGACCATAAAACTTCTAAAAGAAAAAATATAGGCAGGGCGCCTGGGTGGCTCAGTCGTTAAGCGTCTGCCTTCGGCTCAGGTCATGATCCCAGGGTCCTGGGATCAAGTCCCACATCGGGCTCCCTCCTCGGGGGGAAGCCTGCTTCTCCCTCTCCCCCTCCCGCTGCTTGTGTTCCTGCTCTCGCTATCTCTGTCTCTGTCAAATAAATAAATAAAATCTTTAAAAAAAAAAAGAAGAAAAAACATAGGCAGTAATCTCTTGGATCAGCAACATGTTTATGGATATGTCTCCTCAGGCAAGGGAAACCAAAATAAAAAGTTTTTGCACAGCAAAGGAAATCACCAACAAAAAAAAAGGCAACCTCATGGATGGGAGAAGAGATTTGTAAATGATATATCTGATAAGGGGTTAATATCCAAAGTATATAAAAAACTTGTACTACTCAACACCAAAAAAAGTAAATAATCTGATTTAAAAATAGGCAGAGGAAAGAACTTATCAAACTCAACACCCAAAGAACAAATAATCCAATCAAGAAATGGGCAGAAGACATGAACAGACATTTCTGCAAAGAGACATCCAAATGGCCAAGAGACACATGAACAAGTGCTCAACGTCACTCGGCATCACGGAAATCCAAATCCAAACCTCAATAAGATACCAGCTCACACCAGTCAGAATGGCTAAAATTAATAAGTCAGGAAATGACAGATGTTGGCGAGGATGCGGAGAAAGGGGAACCCTTCTACACTGTTGGTGGGAATGCAAGCTGGTGCAGCCACTCTGGAAAACAGTATGGAGGTTCCTCAAAAAGTTGAAAATAGAGCTACCATACGATCCAGCAATTGCACTACTGGGTATTTACCCCAAAGATACAAATGTAGGGATCCAAAAGGGTACGTGCATCCTGATGTTTATAGCAGCAATGTCCACAATAGCCAAACTGTGGAAAGAGCCAAGATGTCCATCAATGGATGAATGGGTAAAGAAGATGTGGTGTATATATACAATGGAATATTATGCAGCCATCAAAAAAAAAAAAGAAATCTTGTCATTTGCAATGACATGGATGGAAGTAGAGGGTATTATACTAAGTGAAATAAGTCAATCAGAGAAAGACATGTATCATATGATCTCACTGATATGAGGAATTCTTAATCTCAGGAAACAAACTGAGGGTTGCTGGAGTGGTGGGGGGTGGGAGGGATGGGGTGGCTGGGTGATAGACATTGGGGAGTGTATGTGCTATGGTGAGTGCTGTGAATTGTGTAAGACTGATGAATCACAGATCTGTACCTCTGAAACAAATAATACATTATATGTTAAAAAAAAAAGAGATAGTAGGAAGGGAAAAATGAAGCGGGGGGAAATCAGAGGGGGAGACGAACCATGAGAGACTATGGACTCTGAGAAACTAACTGAGGGTTCTAGAGGGGAGGGGCGTGGGGAGATGGGTTAGCCTGGTGATGGGTATTAAAGAGGGCACGTATTGAATGGAGCACTGGGTGTTATACGCAAACAGTGAATCATGGATCACTGCATCAAAAACTAATGATGTAATGTATGGTGATTAACATAATAAAATTTAAAAAAAATAGGCAGAGGACCTGAACAGACATTTTTCCAAAGAAGACAAACACATGGCCAACAGACACATGAAATGATGCTCAACAACAGTAATCATCAGGGGGAAAAAAATGAAAACTACAATGAGGTATCACCTCACACCAGTTAGAATGGCTAGTATCAAAAAGACAAGAATTAACAAGTGTTGATGAGGATGGGGTAAAAAGGCAATCCTCATGCACTGTTGGTGGGAATATAAATTGGTGCAGCCACTGTGGAGAACAGTATGGAGGTTCCTCAAAAAATTTAAAAACAGAAATACCATATGATCCAGTAATTTCACTACTGGTATTTACCCTCCAAACTGACACAAATCCAAAAAGATCTATGCACCTCTCCATTTACTGCAGCAGTATTTACAGATTTACAGATATGGAAGCAGCCAAATATGCACCGATACATGAATGAATAAAGAAGATGTGTGTGTGTGTACGTATACATATAAACAAATATATATGGAATAGAATATTACTCACCCATAAAAAAGAATGAGATCTTGCATTTGTGACAACATGGGGTGGACTTAAACGGTACCATGCTAAGTGAAATAAATCAGACAGAGGGAGACAAATACTGTATGATTTCACTTGTATGTGGAATCTAACAAAATAAAAGAACAAAGACTCAAATATAGAGAACTGGTGGTTGTCAGAGGGGAGGTGGGTAGGGAGATGGGTGAAATAGATAAAGGGGACTAAGAGGTACAAACTTTCAGTTATAAAATAAATAAATCACAGAGATGAAAAGTACAGACAGGTAATATAGTCAATAATATTGTAATAACATGTATTCTGACAGATGGTAACTACACTTATTGTGGTGAGCACTGAGTAATATATAGAATTGTTCAATCAATATGTTGTACACCTAAAATTAATATATTATCAGTTATACTTCAGTAATAAAATAACCAAATAAATGTGTATATTTTCATCCTGTTAATCTGTTTTATGTTAATTTTTTTTTTAAGATTTTATTTATTTATTTGACAGAGAGATAGCACAAGTAGGCAGAGCAGCAGGAAAGGGAGAGGGAGAAGCAGGCTCCCTGTGGAACAGGGAGCCCGATGCAGGGCTCGATCCCAGGACCGTGGGATCATGACCTGTGCCAAAGGCAGACGCTTAACGACTGAGCCACCCAGGCGCCCCTGTTTTATGTTAAGTATAAGTCACAGCCAAAAGCCCTAAGAGGGTAGAGGTAAAACTCCCCTACAAGGTCTTTTAAGTTTTTTCCATAGCATCTTAGAGATTAACAGGAGCTTGTTAAGGGAATCAATCCTAGGATATTATTTCAGCCTTTTTGGTAATCCAAGAAAACTTGTGCAATAACGATTGTATCCTCCAAGAACAAAGACATGCTAAGATCGGGAACTTCTTGGAAACGTCAGAACCATGAAATGTCTAAAGGTTTCTGAAGTCTTGCACCTTTGAAGAGGAACCAAAATGTAAAAAATATGATATATTGATACTGAATAAAAAAAGGAAGGAAAACCAAAGCACGTAGTTGGGAGAGGCATAAAGGCTCCAATGGCATTAAGGACCTTACTAAACTGCCTCAGTTGAGTAAGTAAACATTATGAGCCTCTGGTGTTACAAGCTGCAGAGGACACATTTGGTTTCTTGATCATTGTTATCAGTACCCCCATGGGCCATTCTCATTCAAACCTAAGGTAAGAACCTTTGCTGACAATGGAGTGGATTTTGTCAGCAGTTTAGAATTGCTGGTTGCTGTAGGAGAGCTTCACTAGGTTGACAAGTGTGGGAGAGTGACTGGTATTACCATTCCAAAGCATTCCCCATCAGCTGGGCTAAAGAACATGGGGTGGAAAGCAAAAACTCTGAAACAAGAGAGCATATTATCAAAATATTAGATTAGACACAGTTATGGTCCACTGGGAAATGAAGCAATCAGAAATGGCAAGGTCAGGAGTATCATTCCCCAGCATGGGAAGCCCCTGTAACATATCAGTCTTTTCAAAGATGTAAACATGACAATTGTCAATGTTTCACAATACACATGAAGACTAATAATAGCAAGTTTTCATATAAGGTATCATTAATAGAAACTTTAATTTAGTTATGGTTAAATTTTTAATGAGAAATTTACCTTGCAGAACTTGACTTCTGCCTCTAAATGATGAATGTATTGAGACTGGTCATTGATGATAGGAACGAGATTGTATACAGTAGGGATACTGGCTTCCTCATACTCTGATGACCTCTAAGGCAAAAAACAAAAACAAAAACAAATTAAGCATGTTTGGATTTAGCAAAGAATCAGGTAATACCACCATAAACCACCTCCATACTCAATTTAGTACTGATGTCATATAAACATAGGGTAGATCACATTGTGGCCAATAGTATTTATTTCTCTATCCTATAAATTCCACAGACAGAGAAGATTCAGGGATATGAATATCTTTTTTTTAAAGATGGAAAGTGAAAGTGATTATAAAAAGTTTGTGGCTAATGGAAAAATGCTGGGGTAGTCTCACTGGCTTGGGATGAACTGCCTATCAGAGCCATCTGGAAATGTGACACCCCAGTCAGCAATGGGGAGATAAATGGACAACTCTCTTCAAGAAACCACCATGTGGGAGCACTGCTAGCTAAAATTGCAGAACAGCTGCCTACTGAAGGGTTTCTTTAGACAAGGGTTAGCTGCCAGGTGTGTCCACGAGGTAAAATTCTATCCACAGGGCGCCTGGGTGGCTCAGATGGTTAAGCGTCTGCCTTCGGCTCAGGTCATGATCTCAGGGTCCTGGGATCGAGTCCCGCATCGGGCTCCCTGCTCCTTGGGAGCCTGCTTCTCCCTCTGCCTCTCTCTCTCTCTCATGAATAAATAAATAAAATCTTAAAAAAAAAAAAAATTCTATCCACAAAGGAGTATGTTAGCAAAGTGTGGTTTTTGATTTTTGACCCTAGGCAATTTGAGACTATGCTGGTATGGAGCACAGAGCCACCAAGCCTAGGGTGCTAAAGCAGGACCCTCAGGAAACTGGCAGCTATCTTGCACCAGGAGTCCAGTGAATAGACCTCAGAAAAAGTGTTAATTCTCTGTACCTCTGCAGCATTCCTGCATTGACTTTAATGTACACCTTACTTTCTCCTCAAATGATTATAACGTGGTTTCTAGAATCATTTATCATTCCATGATATTTTTTAAGGAAAAGAGGAAATCAGGGAGGAAGAATGAGTGTCAACCAGTGAAATGAACCCAGAGAAAGCTCGAGATGAGACACCTGATCATTGTTTCTCGGTCTGCTAGAAATTCCTAACAACAAAGGACCAGCTCTCGTGACAGAATAATTTATTTTTTTATTTTTTTATTTTTCATTTTTTTTAAAGATTTTATTTATTTATTTGAGAGAGAGAGAATGAGAGACAGAGAACACGAGAGGGAAGAGGGCAGAGGGAGAAGCAGACCCCCCGCTGAGCAGGGAGCCCGATGTGGGACTCAATCCCAGGACTCCAGGATCATGACCTGAGCCGAAGGCAGTTGCCCAACCAACTGAGCCACCCAGGCGCCCTCGTGGCAGAATAATTAAGTAGAGTTTTGTTTTTTGGCATATTTAAGAAATTTAAAAACCAAAGTAACTTTAACACAATGGATTTTCTACAGTGAATAGAAAGCAATTAATTATAATAATTTTATATTAATAGAAATGGGTCCAGAACATAGGCAAATAAGAATTAAATATTACTGTGGGTACATACAGGACAGTCTATGTAAAAAAACAAAACAAAAAAAACAAAAACCATAAGCTAATACTGAGTGGAAAATGAAATCACCTGTATATATTTTGAAGGGTTTATTATAGTCTGGATAGCCACATTTCAAAAACATAAGTAATAATACGTGGCTATGTTCTCCATCTCAACAGTGTCTCAGTTTCACTGTCAACAGAGCCACGTGTTTCGGGTATGTCATATGTGTGGCTCAGTCAGTGGGCGTCTGACTCTTGGTTTCAGCTCAGGTCATGATCTCGGGGTTTTGAGATCGAGCCCCAAGTCAGCTCTATGCTTAATGCAGAGCCTGCTTCAGATTCTTTCCCTCTTCCCTCTCCGTCCCCATCTACTCTTCCTCCTGCTCACATGGTCACTCTCTCTCTCTCAAATAAATAAATAAAATCTTTAAAAAAAAGAAGAAAGTGCATTTAAAGTGTTTCTAAACCATCAAACACTGCTTATTATCATTATGGCTTGTAATCATTCCGTGTGGGCTATACACATTCAGAGTCTAAGTTGCATCCCTCCACATAGCTCCATATAAACAGACCTGTAGGGGACTTGTAAAGTATATACTGCATATGCTGAACTGATGATGCTCTTGGTAAGCCTCCCCCTGCTACCCAGATTCAACCAGCTCTGTAGTATCACTGCTTGGTTGTATCTTTAAAATGCTAATGAGCATGCCTGAGCATTCGACAGATACAGCAACTTCATCTACTAGTCTTGAAAGTACTCTACCCACTGTGTGCCAAAGAGCGTTCTAGAAGCCAGGTATTAAAATTATAATTGATAGCCACATAAATATTGAACATGGGTATGCAGTATATGTCTCTGAAGTGGGAATCAAGCATGAAAGTATGTGTCAGGCTGGAATGAAGTGTTAATATGGGGGTATGGTTATGACATTTCAGCTGTGAGTAAAGTGACATGTCTCCACAGTTTCTTCAATGGAGCCTTGGCATCTAAGTGTTGCACACATTGAAAATGCAAGGTAGTTACTGCTACTATGACACATTAGATTTGTGTCAGATTGCGTTGTTTCTAAAGAATTTTAAGTATATACTCTTATCTTATTATTACAGAAACACTGTGAGGCATAATATTCTTCTAGAAAGTAAGTAATAGGCCCAGATAGACCTAAGGCCTAGACCATTATTTTGATCATTTAAACCTGGCCAAATCCTTCCCTCATACCTATCCCCCCTCCTATCTATCTCAGGCTTTAGCATACCACATCGCTTCAGTTGGGAATAATTCAGTCTGTCAAAGCAATGGCAATAAAAAACAACTTCAGAAAAAAATATAGCTTCTCACATTGTGCATTTTTGTAACCATGTATTTTAAAATGGAGAACAAGATTATATACTTTGGCTTTGACGTTCAAAATAAATATTACAGAGGACAGCTAGAAATAATTATAATTAAGTAAATTCTAAAAATGATAGGATATCGATATGACCCCGTAAAAAAGAAACAGCTACTCTTTTCCATAGAGTATTCCTTTTCTTTTATATTTGCTAACAGTTGCAAAGTAAATTCTGCAAACTGTTTCCTCACCTGCATTTTTCAAGTGAATGATAAATTTAAAACTCAGGATTCCCTTTGCTATGGAAGTCTCTCTTCTTCAGCCAAAATAATCAGAAGGGAGATCATTTCTTTTAATGCTTTATGCTATTAGAATGTCCTGCTCAGAATTTGTCGAGAACATATACTACTGAAACGACACTGTAGAGTTAAAACATACTTAGAGGGGTACCTGGGTGGCTCAGTCGGTTAAGCGTCTGACTCTTGATTTCGGCTCAGACCATGACCTCAGGGTTGTGAGATCAAGCCCCGTGTCAGACTCTGCACTGAGCGTGGAGTCTGCTTGAGATTCTCTCCTTCTCCCTTTCCCCCTCCCCCCATTCATGCCTTTTCTCTCTAAATAAAATCTTAAAAAAAAAAAACATAGTTAGAAAGACAATGGTCTTGTTAGGTTGCAAATGTTGATACACACCAGAGGGGACACATTTCGTCTTCTTGATGGAGACACCTCACTTTCCTTAGTTGCCTGTTGGCGCAACAAAGCTTTGAGTTGATTGACTGCAGAGCAAACACAATGGGTTTCATTAGCCTTCCCATGGATCCATGGCTTATCATCACCCATTCATGCTTCTATCCATCTAACAAACATAGTGTAAACATGTTTTATGTATCAACAACTGTGCAATGGACTGGGGATCCAAAGGCAAACATGAGAAAAGCTCTACCACTTAAAGGCCAAGAGAGATACACTGACAGATATAAAACTATGTAATAAGTTCCCATGTAGATCTACAGCTATCCACAGTGCTATAAGAAGAGGAAGCACCTAATCATGCCTGTTTTTACATTACAGAGGAGTTAACACTGGGAAGGATGAACAGAAGATTACCAAGCAAAAAAGGATGAGAAAAATCCCAGTTAGAAGGGATGGCATAAGCATAGAAGCCGGGCGAGTAGGTTGCTATGACTAGAATGTGGCTGGATAGTGGGGAGGAGGATAGAAATATGAGGCTGGAGAGGTAGCTTGGAGCCATCTTAAGAAGAAAGAAGAAGAAATATTGCTATGACATACAAAGGATTTTGGACTTCAGCCTATAGGCACCACGAAGTCAAAGGAAAAATATTCAGCAAGGAAGTTGTACCAGCTGATTTGTGTTTCAGGAAGAAAATCCCACCTGCAGAGCAGCGGACAGCCTGGAGTCCTTACTCTACGGAGGAGCTTAAAATAGTCACAGTGTGTCATTCAGACTAGGACTGACATCCATTCACACTCACCGGCATGGCTGTGTTGAAGTTCATGCCAAGCCATCCCAGGGTCCTCATTTTCCACACCATTACCACACGTGGCATCCAGGGCACCTTCTCCAACACTGACATCACCGTCTCTCAGTGCACACTGCAGTTGGTGAATGCTTCTATTCGCACGTTCTGCAACAACAATGTGATGAAAATCAGGACCTGTGAAGTCTGAATGGCTATGTGGACACTTACTCCAAAGGGCAGTGCCTAAAGGAGAACCAAATGTGTCTTATACTTTATGGAAAAAAGCAGAGATTTGTTTCTAGCTTGCTGAGGACAGTGCTGAGGAAGAGAGATGAAGTTCGTGGGTCAGAGGTGAGACCTGATGATCTCTAAGTTCCCTGACACGTCAGTGGGGGATAGTCATCATCTACAGCTTCTGCCAAGGAGGCTAGAATAGGAGAGCTCCTCCCCAACCCACCCTCCAAACACTAACCCCACCCCAGAAAGGGCTCCCTTTACCCTCCTTGAGATACTGGGGTGGTGGGCAGAACTAGCAAGAGAGACTCCACCACACCAAGTTCCCGCCCAGGGAAGCCTACTTGCCCCTGTGAGCCAAATGTCCCTCCTCGACTGAGAGACAGCTGACCGCCTGGCCTAGTTTTGATCAAGACTGGAAGGGCTGAATGAAGTGCTTTTAGTACCTGCCTCTGCAGTGTAGTCCTTCCTATGTCCTGCTGACTGACTACACACTTGTAGAGATTCTTGGTTAGTGGACCTCACCACCCCTAGAATTGAAGCTTAAACTCACTAGCACTTACTCAACAGTACAGCCTAAAATGAAGTATCTTACGGTATATTATACTATAGTAGTTCATCTCTCCAAATAGTGCCCCCCACAACCCCCCCGGCCCCTACCCTTGTCCCCTCCCAAGTTGAAACTAAGTTGGGTAACTTGCAAAGAGAATGCAGGAGAAGTTACACCATGCCAGACCAGGTTTCATTTTTTTTTTCTTTACATTTATTTATTTATTTGAGAGAGAGAGCAAGCATGTGCACGAGGACACATGTGCTCATAAATGCCCACCGTGCACACGTGAAGGGGGAGGGGCAGCAGGGGAGGGAGAGGGACAAGCAGACTTCCCGCTGAGTGTGGAGCCCACTCGGGGCTCAATTCCATGACCCCAAGATCATGACCTGAGGAAACCAAGAGTAGGGAGCTTAACTGACTGAGCCACCCAGGTGCCCCCAGGCTTCATATTTTAAATGTCTGGTAGCTTCCGCTTCCTCCCTCCTGGAATGCTTGTCTTTATGATCCCTAAGCCACTAAGTAGGAAGCCTGCCTACCCTGCTGGAGAGATTGTGGCAGGGCCATGTGGCGAGGAGAGGCCCTGAGAGCACATGGGGAAGGAGAGAAGCCCAGCACCGCTGACAGCCCAGGGGAGCGTCCAGATGGCCTGAGGCCATCTCACTGCAAAGGCATGAAAGAGACAGGAAGAACTGTCCTGCTGCGTCCAGTCAACCCAAATGCCTCTAGCTGTTGCTGTCAGCCACCAGGCTTTACAGTGGTTTGTTATGCAGCAACAGAGAACTGGAATAATTATCCAGTGAAATACCCAAAAACGTTTTCAGCAAAGGATCCAAGTCTTACATTAAAAACAGAACTATACTAATGACACTGGTGATGGCATTACTGAGAATTCTATCCTACTTTATGGATATTTTAACATGTCTAACAACCGGAGAGCCCGGCAATCAATCGGTAATTTCATTAATCGAGGTCCATTTATTTTTTTCCATTTAAACTTGTTGTTTCTGCTCATCTCTTAGGATTAAATTCACTGGTTCCAATTTAGAAAACATTAACTATAACAAAAACTGTTCCTTGCACGTTAGAGCGGGGACCCAGATTTCAGTCATGCTGTTCAAATTTTGACATCTGTATTTGAAAGTTATTTTTTAATTCACTCATTAATTTACCAAGCACCTACATATATCTAAGATGGAAATGTATGTTAGAAAAAGATGAATTCCCATGCAAATTCATCTACATCTATTATCTATTTATTTTTTAAATTTTTTAAATTTCTTATTTTTTTAAAGATTTTATATATTTATTTGAGAGACAGGGAGAGAGAGACAGAGTGCTTGAGCAGGGGGAGGGGCAGAGGGAGAAGCAGACTCCCTGCTGGGCAGCGAGCCCCATGCAGGGCTAGATCCCAGGACCCTGGTATCATGACCTGAGCTGAAGGCAGATGCTTAACCAACTGAGCCACCCAGGTGCCCCTATTTCTTTTCCTTTTAAAGATTTTATTTATATATTTGAGAGACAGAGAATGTGCACATGCATGAGTGGAGGGGGGGGGGGGGACAGGGGTAGAGGGAGAAGCAGACTCCCCACTGACCAGGGAGTCTGACACAGGGCTAGATCCCAGGACCCTGAGGTCATTACCTAAGCCGAAGGCAGACACCTAAGCGACTGAGCCACCCAGGTGCCCTATTATCTATTTCAAAATGGACTCCATTGAAACAATACTTAAGATCTTCAAGGGGAGGAAATGGTACTTTCCCTAAGAAGAACAATTCAAAACAATGATGGCCAATGACATTCTTGCTCTTCTTGCTCTTCTTCGACAACTTAGGTCTATTTCTTCTTGTGTCCTCAGGAGAAAAGCTCCTCATCTTTGCTACCTATATGGGAACCCTAAGAAAGCTACAAAACAACGATCTTTTCATTACCAGTCATGGATGAAAATATATTTACAAACATATATTCTACAGGACCTTGAGAAACAGATTTTATTTTCTCCAAGCTCATTAATTTCAAAGTTTAGAACAGAAAAAGTAACTGTAACTCAGTAGAAAAAAATATACTACTCTATGCTACAAAGTATCTGACATAGGTTGTTCACTTAGAGCAACTCCTTTCATTTCCTGATTAAACTAAAGAAAACCGGTCTTTCAGGTCAGGGTTCAACAGTGAAATTTTATTACTAACTACACAAGAGACTCACTGAATTTATCGCTACATTTCTTCCTACACACCAATCCTATTTCCACACAGACGTTTATCTGACAGGCATTTGGAGCTGAATACTAACCAAGCGTGGCCTCCTCTTAGTCATCATGAGTTTTGTTTTTTGGGGTGGTTTGGTGTTTTTTTGTTTTGTTTTTACTCATCATGAGTTTAAGAAAAACCCAGATAAGACACATTCCTGGTTTTAGCAAAATAAGAAGTAGCAGTAGTTTTCCAACAATTTAGTATTTTCTAAAGAGATTTGTTAATGGAAAAGGAAAATCAAAGTGTTACATGATAAGAAATTTAGTTCACAGAGCTTTAGATTTACACCCGTAAATCTATGAATAAAGCACTTATCTTTACTACATCCATTAAAAAGGAAATAGAGGGCTTGACTAACATTAAAAGTATGCTCTGGAGCTATGAAATGATTTTACTTCTAAGATAAAGGATAATTATTTATTTAAAACCCCATTTGACTAAAAGCTAATAAGCTGTATTAGGAAAAAGAAAGGAAATCTGGAAAAAAATTCACAGTTGAAGATCTCTATATGTAGAGTTCTTTTATCAGATTACAATGATGGTAGAGTTTCATGAGCCCATTTAACCCCTTTTTCAATATTCTTCTTTACTCTTTTAGCATTTATGACATTCAAAGACTACGTGTTAAAATTACACTATGAAAACAGTTACGTGAAATAGTGAGATACTGAAACCAACAACTATCCCGAGGAAAAGTTAACTTCAGTTAACTAGGATCAGAGAGGAAGACAGGGAATTTGCAAGAACTGTGTCCTAAAACTAAAACTAAGGAGGTAAGTGATATTTTTAAGTCATTTCAATAGTATATTTCAAAACACTCTAAATGCTCTTCAAGTGTATACATAGCAACATAATTATACACTGTAACAGACAAACAGTTAATCCTGAGGAATAATAATGCTTAGATGGTTCAAAACAGATGAAACCCTATTGCTCTTCAGCTGGAACCACTGCAACTGAAGGCCTTACAGTCCTTACAGAGAACACTACACCCCACATGCCATTATCTGCTACAAACCGGATTAGACAGGAGGTTTCTAGTTATCATTTCCTATCCTATTGCGAGTGGGCAAACTTTATCCGTCCATAGCCAAGAGACGGAAAGAATACTCATTTCCCCTTCTCTCCAGAGAGCACAGTAAGAGTAGTTCACAATGCATCCTGATTTCTTCTCCCCAGCACCAACCACGGCCTGAAAATAAACTTAATTATCATTACAAACCCAAATAGGACCTCTGAGTCCCAAAGCATCACAGGAACATAAAGGTAAGTAAATAATATTTCTGGAGGTCCACTATCCGAACATCAATCAGTACAATGAGCACCAAAAGTGAGCAAGCTGCTGACTGTTGGCCCATTTCAGTCTGTCTTAATCATTTTTGTAGTCCAGTTCTCCCCCTTCCCCATTCTCTCTCCCAGGTCACCATCAGGCCTCTCTTCACCAAGGGTTTTTGAACAAAAGACAAATATGTCCCAGTCCAGGTAGTATCATCACTTATATACAGACCGTGAATTATTCATGTCTCCATTCTCCATCTGCACGGGAGATGTGAACAAGAATTACCCTGGTGTCTGGGTGGGGGAAACACTCCCCAGGCAGCGCCCAGCTGTCTCTGAGAAACCATGCAATACCTCCCTAGGCTGAGATGAGAGAGGCACCGCAGTTCTTAAAACAAGCCGAGACCAGGGCAGACAAGCAGGAAAATGACACCGCAGCAAGATAAGAGATATATGTGTCTGTCCACACTTGACTGGGCCTCAGCTAGTTCAGAAGATTGCTGTCACTGTTTACTAGGGGACTGACAGCTAGGACAACCAAGATAAAAACAGTCTAATCTGAAGTCAGACGAAGCCAGCCTTGGAAATGACAATTACAACAGCGAAGGGGATTAAAAGTAATGTGCAGAAATGAAAAAATCTAAAAAAATTCTATCATAAAAGAAAAGACTCTAATAGCCGAAAAATGTGCTAAAGAGGTTGGCGCCGGGAGTGAAAGATAATCTGAACAAGAATGTCAATGTCTTAAGAAAGCAGTGGCCGGAAGGTCATTGAGGATGTGTGGATGCTGGCAAATCAAGGAGATGGGCTATATACATTACGAAGGATACACTGGGTATGTTTTGGGCAC